ACTATCTTTGCTTCTTTTGCTTTGTTGACAATTTGTATAATATGTAGTGAATTAGTAATTTGTATGTAACTTAAAATACTACATTGTTCCTACCTTTACGCCACATAACTGCACATTCAACTCTACTTTATTCTAGCATGATCTAAATTCATCATTTAAACTTTAGAAAACCCATGTTTGTCATTGCCAAAGAATTTATTAAATATGGATTCCTAGGAAAAAATATGCCTTTTAAAAGTGTCCAATATTTGAAGTATCCCTGTTCGCAACTGTGCTCCATGTTACATGGTGTAAAAGAAAAAAAAACGGTTGCCTTGCGTCGCTTAACACATTTGTAAAGTTCATTTTTAAGGCCATGCAATTTAAATCATATTGCAAACATATTAAGGTGGAGAAAAAAAAACATGCGTATCTATTTCTGAAATTAAAATATGTACACGTATATTTATAATCACAAATAAACGTTGCTTTAATCAGATTACGCATCATGTTCGGACTTTTTTTTATTTCATTTTAAAAGAGGACGTATCTTGTATCTTGCTACCTGTGACTTCAAAATAGAACAATATAACAATATGGTTACAAAAGGCAATTATTTTCCTGTTTACAAGAGAGTTTTGTCCGATAAATTTTTGACACGTGTTAAAGGTGCTATCAAATACACAAAATATATCGGTGCAACCAGTTAAAACTTTAGTTGTTTAAAAGTACTATATTTATATTATGCCAAATTTATATTACGCTGGTATTTCTGAGAGTAGTGCAATTATAACAACTTTAGTTTCATGTATCAGTGTTTAAGCCTTAAGTATTATTTGTCTAATTGTTCAAACCATCGTGTGTGGTAAAGTAGCGTTAATGTTATTATTTTATCTCTCTAAATGTCACATGAATAACGCAAATACTTTGAAACAGTTACTATAAAATCTAATATGTTTCTTTCTCCCTAATTATTTAATAATATAATGTTTAATAATGAGATGCATGCGGTGTCTTATAAAAGATGTGTAGGATAGTTAACATATTACAGGTTAAAATAATAATTATTATGTGTACTGGCAGAGAGCGAATTTTTCAATTAAAGTGCAGACAAAGATCAGCCTGCATATCCTAGCAATCCATGGTCTGCACGGTTCGATGTCCGGTCAAACTCCCATTTTCCTTAAGAAAATAAAATAATTTCAATGGTAATTTGCATTACCAGTACCGCCCATGAACAGGCTTGAAGGGATTCTTGAGGGATTCTTATATTCTTTATTTCTCAAGCATAAATACAACATGTTCAACTAATCTACAATATGAAGTATGCTTTCGAAGGATGACATTGGAAATCACGAAAGAAATAATGTAACTCAACAATTAACTCCCTTAAGAATTATTCAAAAAATATCTTTTATCTAAATTACAATAAATAAACAGGTTCATTTCAAAATGGGCAGAATGGAGAGAAAGAAGATAATGACATTCTCTAGCCTTTCATATGTAAAGCAAAAATGTTATAGTGATAGCAAAACAAAATGAAATAGATAAACAACACAACACAAAAGAAGACAAAGAAAAGAATGATAAAAATTCAACAAGATGAAAACATCCACGTCTTGTTGCAAAATAGAAAGAAAAGCCTAAACTATGTGTCAACAATAGTCCTTTATTTTAAATTATTTTGTTTTTAAAATGGAAAATATTTGCGTATGTAAAATATGCGCCCTTTCTTGTAGGAAGTTATTTCAGATTTTAATTACTCACCGAAAATTATCTGAAAACACATGTAATGGCAAGTTGTACATATGTAATGGAATGCTATTGCAGTAAAGTTTAAACGCTATCAAGGTAAATAGTGTTGATATTTTTATATTTTTTCCTAAAAGCAAGTTTACTCCATCTTGTTCTCGATGTTGCGTTTAGATTTTGGGCCATGAATGCTGTGTTGACAGCAGCGACCTACAGATAATTGGAAATACACCTTAAATATATCTTCATTCGAATATCGAATATCGTTTTAAGATTCAATACCACTTTTCTCATTGCTCGGGGTTTGGTGCTTGGAGTTTTTAAACATTGTCAGAGCCTCGGCGTGCGAGTTGCAATTCTTTGTCGAGCTGTTGTTACTTACACTTACACCTGCGTTATAAAGGATTAAAGATAATTAAATTGAAAAATTATATAGTCAATGCTTTACAAAAGAAAACTTCCCATGTGCACGATTATCTTTTCTACAAAGGGGCTTGGGCTTAGAGTTGTACGTTGTCAGTGCTAAGGGGGAATGTTTTATCGTAATAATATTTTCGAAATTTCTGAGGGTCTCCTGATCACCATCATGAATAAACACAACACTAATGCTGTTAATACTCTTGTCTTTTCAGAACAGGGAGTTCTTAACTAGTATATTGATATTTATTGTGCTAATCAGAGTATTTTGTGTCCTTACATTAATGCATTAACAGCACTAAAAGACAAAAATATAATTTAAAAATGAATACAAAAGTTATGAAATCCTGAAATTTGAGTGTTTTAGAAGTTCATAAGTCGTCTTATATCTATAGCCTAACCTGCACCTAACATAAAACCTTTAGATAAGACCGTGCACATATTAGTGCACATCGTACGAAATATTTGGCTTATGTTTTTGCAAGAATCAATACATTTGAATTCAAGTTATTATTTTAGATCAATCAAGTTTTGTCTAAAACTTGAAAGTTTAATATTTACGCAAATAGCCAGCCTATAAGACTTTTGGCATAGTATAACATCTCGATATTGTTTAGCTGGCTGTGAATTTGCAGATATAGATGCTTTTAAAGTAGCGATTATTTCCTTCCCTGACTGCCATTCGGTTGTCATTCCCTATATACCATTTGCTTAAGATAAGATAAACATTTATTATAATTATATTACTTCAAGGCGAAATGATAGTCTTTTACATCTTGGTAATATGTATAGAAGAATGTGAGAATTTTTGTAATTTGGCTGCTATTACGTTTTTTCTCAATTTTTGTTTACTTTATTATTTATGATATTAACCCCACCCTAAAAAAGGCTACTACATATGGCAAAGGAGATACATATTTAAAAAAAGCCTTCTTAGCCATTACCAATGGTAAAATATCCACTACGAAAACCTGATTGGGCATTAGTTATTTAATGTAGAGCCTCAGAGTAAAAAGTTTCACGAGTTGTTAATATACTATATTTTTAAATATAACTTACTTAAATGTCTAAAAGAGCAATACCTTTGTAATAATCTGCATTGTTAAAAAAGAGAGATATAACTTTTTCTGACCAATTTGAAGGAAATGCACCTTAAGTGTAGAGCCTATTTTTAAGAGCTTCACAAAATAAGGAAATAAAATGGTTATACCAAAAATAAAATAATCTGCTACCAAATAACCTGAAGTAGATATTTAAGGATTAATATTTTTCAAGACCTCAATAATTTCATTATCAGTTATGTCACTATTAAACAAACTGTCTTTAATATCATCTAATATAAGATCATCAGCTACATTAATATCATCATCAACACTATTTTCAGTTTAACTACTGATCACCAGTGTTTGAAATGATCATACCGTTGTTCAGATGTGATATCTCAAAGACACTTTACAACTTTCACAGTTGATTCCAGTTTTCTCATTATATCTGAAGAATAAGGTTATTGAATAGAGTGAAATAAGAATCCCTAAAGAAAGTCCAACGCGGCAAAATTGAAAATGTTGCAGGCTCGGTTTGATTGAGCCTGTTCATGGACGGTACTGTCAAGTGCAAACTACCGTCCACGCCCCCTAGCACCGGCTTTTGTGCAAATTTAAACCTTAAGCATGATTGTATTACTGCCAGCTAGTAACCAGAATCATTCAAAACAAAATAATGTTAGTATCTTATATTTCATTCTTCAATCTATCAATTTGAAAGTGTTTAATTGCTTACCAAGTTGTGATTTTTACAGGTGCCAAGATAGATAAAAACTTCGCATTCACATTCTGATATCTGGTTATCCGTATAATCCCTTTCAAGGAACCGCTTTCGAAAATGAAAGTTTTAATCGATACAACAAAAATTAAACAAGAAAAGTGTTAAAAAATGTTAGGAGTTCCAAATTTTATAAGATTTTGGAAAACAGAAGAATTTGATGAAGCGGAGAAAAACAAAAAGAGTTGTGGAACTTCGAATCAATAAACATATTCGGAATATATACGTTTCTAGATGTAACATAAAAAGTCAAAATGAATTATAAGGTTCTTCTTAACAATATTATTACACAGACAAGTCTACTTATGACTATAGCGGCTGTAAGGATGCAGGTCCCAATTCTTGTTTTTGTTTGTTTAAATTTCTTGTTTGTTATTTTCTTAAGTGGATTGCCTCCCGGATATAACGATATCCGGCTATATCGAAACAAAACTGATGGTCCTCTGGAATTAGTTATAAACAAAAACAAAAAATATGAAAAACATGTAATATCGATTGGAAAATACTGCATAAAGTGTATTCATGAGAAAAAATTGACATGAAAATTGCAAACTACGTTTGATAGTCTGTACGTGAGGGACAATGAAAATGTGCAACATCCTTTACGGTCCCTTAAACATGCTTTAATAGTGTTAAAATGAAACATCCTAAAGTAGAAGAAAATTAATTAAGTCTAGAATTAGGGATTTTTTATGCGTTTACTTTCAGCATGTGATTGTGTGTGTCTACAATTATTTCTCAATATTTCACATTAACAATCTGACTGATAATGGAGTACATATGATATGATATAATTATTTTTACAGCGGATGTTTTGTATTGTGTGATGTTTTTTATGTCTGTTTTTGAAAGATTTTCAGATACTTAAACAGAAAGACAAATTTGCAAATCACGCAACAGCAATACAAAAGGTACATGAACAACGTCGTTGTTATCGGGTATATATAATTATATTACGTCCTGTTTTAAAGTATAAAGTGCCTGTGTACTTGTGTCCATATTCATTATTCACTGATACCTATTATCTAAGAGAAGGATGGCTTGTTACAATTCAGTTAGAGCTTTTGTGTTTCTGACTATAGTGTTCTACCCAACAGCAAGTGAACCCGATATAGAGCCGGAATGTTCAAAATTCAAATATGACAAACAAATGTTAGAGACAATGGTCAGAATGGAAGCTAAAATGAATCAGTGGGATAAAGAAAAGGAAAACTTTGAAGAGAACATGCTGTCTATAATGGAACATCGGAAGGAGGAAATGAAACGAGAGTTTTTAAATCAAAAACAACAGATTGGTCAAATGTTTGATGACTACAAGAAGATTCGTGAAGAACTCAAAGCGGCTCAGCGTGAAAAGCTAGATGGTAAGTAGAATATAATTTAAATTTTCATTTATTTATGCTATTTATTGAAAAGCTTACGTCAAATTAATTAATGTTGAACATATTTAATTCCACATTATTGTATGACAGAATTCTGTTTTGGAGCCTGATGAAGTATGATTTTTAATAAGTATATAATTAGTATTGATCGATGCCCAATAAAATAAAGTTTATCTTGTCGGAGGATTCAGTAGTTCGATTGAGGTATTTATTAAAATAAAAAGCTAAATAAATTTTGCTGACAGTGGATCAATCTCTATCAACATAGTATAATTTTAAAGTATAACATCAGAGTTCAAAGGAAAGTGAAATTTCGTATTGAATTTTTAAACTGGTAATTTTGCAACATTCAAAAACTTTATTCATTTTGAATTCATCAAAAAAAATTCCCTCCGTTTTATTAACAATTACTTATCACCAATTCATTCTACAATAAAATGGCAGGCCAGTAGGATTCGTGAATATAATTATGATAAGACAAAAATTATCATAAAATCAATTTCTTAACATGTTTGCTTCAGGTAATTTTACAAAAATACCGAAGGTAGCATTCAACGCACGTACAAAGTACAGTAGAGCTGTATATGTCGTCTCTCAAACTATGGTCTTCCCTGAGGTTACGCTTAACGAAGGTGGTGGATATGACAAAATCACCGGAATTTTCACAGCACCTTTGGCTGGTCTGTACCAATTCAGCGTGCACATATGCCATGCCACGACAAAGTATGTGGTCGTAGCTATTGTTCATAAGGATACTGAAGTTGCTATGACAACAGGATATGAAAAGGATACAAGCAGCTGCAGTTCAGCAATGGCTCTTGTAAATATGGAGACTGGTGACCGCGTGTACGTGAAAGTTACATACCCGAGTGCGCTGTACGCTGACAAGTATCGATGGCCATCTTTTTCGGGCGTTCTTTTGAATATTTGAATACATTTGTTGACTGATTCAGAAGTTCAAGTGTCGCACGCTTCTTGTTTCTTTATCAGTTTTTTTCAGCAAATATTTTGCATTTTTTAATAATGATCATAAATATTATTATCGTACTCTTGAACTAATAATGTTACTTCCTGTTGACTAAATATGTGCAAATACACATATAAATGATATTGATTTATTAAAAACTGTAAAACCTTTGTATAAGATTTTGAATAAACAGGACATTATAACAGTACATGCAGGCAACGAGATAAAATTTAGATATACACATTTGTACCATGTTTATAATTCTTCTTTTTAATATGCAGATCGAATACAGCATTTAAGGCACCGACGATCAAAATAGAAAATAAGAGTAATTGCTTGAACATAACGGACAATACCGCGCCAAACACTAAAATTGTTATCCAATGTTGTTACAGGGGTTAGTACGTTAAATATAATCGGTTTAATCTAAGAATACATGTTTATTTCATTTCTTAAGTAGTCATTTAAGGTTTTGGAAAGAAATCATCTTCAATAAAACTATCACGAACCTGTATATGGTCATCGCATTCATGTTTGACAAAGACATAGTCATTTAAACCTTAACAAAAAGGACAATGTGTTATAACTTTTTACTTTAAAATGCATCGGCCATGATTCATGTCTTATGACCTTTTCCTGAAAAACTTTTTATAAATCAAGTCAGTAACCTGACCCTGCCATTAAAACTAAGTAATGTTACCATTTAATGGTACGCTACTGTACTGATCAAGGGAGATAATATTACAGCCTTTCGTACATTTGTAACAATTATTGTTACGGATCATGTAGTGTTTCCTCGTACAATCCCATAAATTTATTTTATTATTAAGTATTTCCGAAACGTTAGAAAGGGATAGAGTGACGTTAACTTTGTATCTTATTTTTCTATCTTTTCTTCAATTAACATGACTGTATTTAATCACAAGAATATATCATTTTATATTGAAGTTTACTATTTTTATCAATATATAGGGAGATAAAATGTTGTTTGTTAACAAGTTGTTTGAGAATACGATATCTATATACAATATCATTTAAGATGACTTTATTGGGGAAGTAAAGTTGAAATGGATGTGTGAGAGAGCGGCATACTCCCAAATTCCCCATCTAACTCAGACAGAAATCGTCTAAGGCGCTTCTCCAATTCTTCTAAAAATGTTAAATCTTTATCTTCCATTATTTTAATTGTTTAGAAAACAAACTCAATGTGTTTTACATAGTGTTTGTTTTTGTGTCGTTTTGTAGTGTAACTTTGTACCGAGCGGATGATTATTATTATATGGTTCTACAAAAATACCTTAACATTCTTATTAATAAACGTAAACATATACTTTTTCTTGCTTTTTCTGTGTACTGAGTGTTTGAAATATTCATAGATGATTTTTATTTGGGGTTTTCAGCCTTATGATTTGAAAATAACTTAATGATGAAAAAAATCCTTAAATCCAAATCAACTTTTTTAATCCATTTAAAAAAGCTTTCAAATTTTTTTATTATAAGATACAATTTATGATTGCAAAATCTATTCTCAACCAAATATCAATCCAACGCATAACCTATCCTCCTTCTGTCCCCTACTTCTATATTTCAACTATCTCTTATCCTATATTTCTTTCTTAAGATACAATACTTCGCACATGCATAAAAATACGTCTCCATAAATCATTTGTCTTATAAATATGGCATCAATTGTACCATATATCCGAGATTTGTGTGTACTAGTATGTATTTACTTTTTCATACTCTTTTATTCACAGACATATTCAGACTTATTTTTAATTACCCATTTTTCAAACATTCTTCAACCAAATATTGTCCATGAGGTTTCAGAGAAACTGCAAGATATGCTTAGCATCAGATACTGAGATTCATGTGTTAACGTATATATAGTACTGCTTTGATCTTCCTCACGGATGCAACCAAGCTACTCTTCAGGATGATTATTTAAATTTGTTTTTATTAACTGGGCGCCCGCTATGCCATATGTCCCAGGCATCTGTCACCTCGCTGATCGTAGAGCCTGCAATTGAGGATTTAGTTCGCCTGCATCGGAGGACTTAGTTCGCCTTCAACGTTGCTGATCATAGAGCTGCAACTTAGATCATCTCTAGCCGTCTTTCGTCGTAGAGATCTTCCCTAGGACCAAGTTCTTCGCATCTTGAACGCAGATGACAATTGAAGGAAAGACACCTCTTCGGTGAGCAGCAACACTTTGTAGAGCCACACCCTTCTCCTTTGGTTAGGTCACACCAGCTCAGAGACCTAACTAGCTCTGTGCATTCAGAGCGACGTACAGGCCGCGTAGGGAAGTCGGGGTCTAGTCTTCAGAACTGTGCAAGCTCTGATTACATATATTGTTGAGTCATCATCTCCGCAGTGAACAAACAAACATTTGATTAAAAAAAAAAATTCTTGTATGATTAAAAAAATTTAAAAAGATCTGTTTTAAAAGTTTTTCTTTTTAAAACTGTTTGGAATAAGAAAAATTTAAAAATAAACATTTTTAAACGATTTCTTAGCTTTATCTATTTTTGATAATTTTATGTATGAAATTATTATGTATTAGTTTGTATTGACCATTTGGGTATTTCCAAAATTTTTATTGTTTTTTTTTAGACTAATACATGTTGTACTAAAAGTTTTTAAATTTATAGAAAATATGCTTTATTTTGGGAAATTTCTGGAATTTTTTTGGTGAAGTTGCTAAAATTTTGTTATATAGTAAATGGGGGGGCTTTCTAAAAACTTCTTGTTAATTATATAAGGAGCTTTTTCATTACTTTTCCCTTTTAATTATCAGTGATTTTTAAAGCTCGTTACCTTTAAAAAATAATTATTTGGAGTTTATTCAACTTGGATATTAAGTGAATTATTGGAGCTTGGATTTTAAAATAAATTATTCTCGTGGATTTTATTGTGGGAATTTATTCTAAATTGTTCTTGGATTTGACTTGGATTTAACTGTGCTATTAAAAAGGATCATTCCAGGATCAGACTAGACATTTGTAATTTTTCATTTTCATTTGGACTTCAGGTATTTGTTAACATAATTTGTTATTTTATTTTTCTTTAATAATTTTTCTGTAATAAATTTGTTATTGTTACAAGTTTGTTGCTGGCTTTTCTTTCTCGTTACGCCTGGCTCGTAACAGAAATTGGGGCTCGTCCAGGATTGAATATTTCTTTTTGGCTACAATATTGGAAATTATTACTGTTTATTTTACATTTCATTATTACCGTATTTACTCATCTGAGTTGATATTATAGTTGTTTCTATTAAGTGTACCTTTCATTTTGAAATTTTTGAAACACATCACTTTCTGAGTTTAAAAACCAGCAACAAGCAGTCATGTCTTTTAATTTAGAAAAGTTTGTAGCTGAACCTTCCCAGGAGGTATTAGATTTGGCTAAGAAAACTGATTTGCTCGATCTTGCAAAAAAAGTATAATTTATCAGAAATTAAATCTTCAATGCGTAAACAAGAAATTAAAAATCTTCTGATTCATTATTTTGTGGATGAAGATATTTTTGGACAAGATGCT